GATACCCCTTTTACTCAGAAATGCAAACGTCTGTATGTGGGGAGTAATTCTTGAGGAATACAAAGTTCACTCTAAGAGTTTGAAGATTATAACCGTTTTTACTTATTTCCTGTCAAATTGTTTTCACCAATAAATTTAGAGAAAAATATTTTAATTTTTTACTAGTGTGAAATATAATACATCGCTTTTCTGTTGATCTTAAAACACTGTTAATATAGTGTGAAATATAATACATCGCTTTTCTGTTGATCTTAAAACACTGTTAATAGCTGATCTATATTAAACACCCTTTAACGACAAAGTTTTGAAAGAACTTATATACCACGTACTTAGAAGGTATGTTAACATGTTAATGAGATGATTATTTCAAACTTATCAATCATGTTTGAGAAACATCCATAATGAACTATGATAAGAAAAGTGAACATCGCTTTTCACATGTATTTTTCTGATATTTTCAATATACCTTCAGACCCAGAATTCTTTAGTTCATTTGATATTGCTGATTGTGAATTGGGGCACGAGATGGTGATTTCCAATTAAGAGGGTCGTACCTTCGTTTCCGTGGACTAACACTTACTTAAATAAGATCTGATAATTCAAAATTTGAACAGCAATTTCTATCTTAAAAATAATTTTGACAAAATACAATAACTTAGAGTTGTATTTCATAATATTTTTATCTAATCATTTTGGGTGATATGATCCAGTTTCAAAACAACATTCAGGCCTAGCTTGGATGACTTCTAAAAACCACGATCCAGTTTGTATTTGTAACTTTTAAATCTTACAACTTAGTCAATACGCGTAGTAGTTGACAAAATGTGATATTCAGGATACAGATATACCCTTATCCAGATATCATCATTTCAGTCAAATGTGTAGTTTTATTTTATGTGTGCGACCATGATTGTAATTAAGATGTATACGTTAGATGTTCAGAGACAGGTGCAGTCAAAAGGTGCAGTGTAATCTTACTTTCTGAAATACTTGTGTTTTTACAATGACTATACAACTTGTAACTGAACAAACTGAGTAACAACTATGTTTCCCACAGTCACAGCTATAAGCCAATGAATGCCGAATTCATGCGTAGAATGAGACATATCATGGCTTCCACATGGACAAAAAATGGCCAATCAACAAGGATGGCCTTTTTCTTTCAGTAAACAACTCCTTTATTATGTAAGGATAAACAGATAATTTCGAACTCACAGGCTATCGGAAAGGCAGCACTCACCGCCAATTCTTCGTCTACTCTTCTTTGACCGAATAGTGGAATATTACCATTATTATTTTAGTGCACCAACGGCCCGAAATTGTAGAATGCATTTTTGCAGCAAAAGGATGCGAAACCATACATCATTGGGTTCACACTCTGAGCAGGCATACCAGTAGGCCACATCCGGTCCAAGTCATGATGTTTTTCATAGTGTTCTAATAAAGAATACTTAACAAGTTACAGCTGTAATCTACAAAAACAACAATAAAAAAACATGTATGATTTTGTAGATCTGTTTAGGACTATTTTTATTTACCTGCTGACGTACTTTCTAATTATATACTTAATAATTGTAATATTTTGTTTTATGTTAAAATAATTTATATTTAAATATTTATGCTCTTTAGAAACCCTTATAAAAGGAATTTTCAAATGTTTTATACTAGTCATTAATGAAAATGGTGGATAAACATTTCAATTATTCAGGAAAGAAATGAAAACTATCGAATTATAATTTTTTGTTTGTTTCTTGAAAGGTGGTTTAGTTATTTATTCCGAAATAAAATATTTACTGAAATATTTACATCCAACATAAGAAATATATAAACCCTACACTAACGACGTGATTTTAATATTTAACGAATGAATGCTCTTACCTTATTAAATGTATTACTGCTGCTGCCATCTGCTGACACGGTATGTTAATTAGTTATTAATCATACATATTTTCTTCTGCAGTTGCTAGGGCCCTATTTTATCAACTTTGCGACGAGACGCGTGTCTTTAAACTGTTACTTTATGAAACACAAAAGGTAATTTTCATTTATTTCATAAATTTTAGCGTATAGCAAAAATATAAATCCCCGTTTCTAAAGAACATGGGAATTAACATAATAGTTTAAGTATAATTTCGGCATCTAAGTCAATGTGATATTGGAGAAAAATCTAATTGAAGTCTTTTTCTGACAGGTAATTTTGAACAGCTGAAAAAGCATTATTTACTAATGAAATATATATATTATATTTTAGCAACGTTCCACTTTTACCAAACATTGGCAACAATTTTTATCTTTTACCAACATTAATGACAGATGTTAGCAAATGTTTCTACATTTATATTCATTTTAACATCTAAAGAAACGACCCAGAATTACAATAGCATCTCCCGTATTGAATTATGTTTTATCTTTAATTTTGAATTGGGATGTATAGAAAAACGTCACTTAGAAAGGTTTGGTTTGAATTTCGCACAAAGCTACACCGGGGCAATCTGCCCAGCCGTCCCTAATTTAGCAGTGAAAGACTAAAGGGAAGGCAGCTAGTCATTACCACCCACCGCCAACTCCTGGGCTACTCTTTTACCAACGAATAGTGGGATTGACTGTCAAATTATAACGCCCCCACGGCAGAAAGGTCGAGCATGTTTGGTGGGACGGGGATTCGAACCAGCGACCCTCAGATGGCGAGTCAAGCGCCCTAACCATCTGGCCATGCCGGGACTTACACTTAGAAAGGACAGAAAAATAAAACCGAGGTACAAATAACAAAATAGGAATGACAGAGTGTGATGTTGAAATCTAGAGGGCGAGTTCCAATTAATTAACATCTAATAGTATATTATACCTCTTCGGTATTACTATGCTGTTGATAAGAGGTATGTGACCCTTATGGGGTTTGAAATGCCATCTTCAGTGTAAGTTTTAATTATCCCTATAGTGGTCTGTTTTTTATTAATTTGTTTTATCAAATAGAGAAAATACAATATTTCATTGCTTTTCTATTGCATTAGAAAGAACTACTTTCCCGATGGTGATAAATAACAGTTTTAGTTGTGGAATGGTGTGGGATTAAACACTCATATCGGCTCCTAATTTTTAAGTTTTAGTTTTGTTTCATATTCAAGGGTTGTGAAGAGATGTTAAAAATAATTGGGTAGGATCTTCAATATAACAGATGGTTCGAACAGAAATTGTATTACGTTGTTGAAATTAGATCTTTTGATTCTGACTTATTTGTGAAAAACAAAGACCCTAGACACAATGTAAAACACAGTGAAAACGGTCTTTTTTCAATTCATAAGGAAATGAAAAATAACGAGTGTGTAGATCAATAATAGCGAATTTACTGGAGTTTTCAGGATTATACATATCTCTGCACGTCTGTTCAAATTTGATGACAATTTATTCCAAAGAGAGAAAACGTAGCTTTATAAATATATATACAGCTTTACAATGTATTTTTCCGAGGGCTCGTGTGCTACTTATGTCACTTTTTATCGTTCCAAACAAAACAATTAAGGGAGATTCGATTCCCCGCGGTGGACACAAGATATAACCCAATGTGGCTTTGCTTTAAAAAACAACAAAGCAAAACATAATGTATTCTACTTTCTGTCAATTTTTCCCACGATAAAGTACACGTGATACCATAAAATTATGGTCCAGAACAACAGATAACTAGGGCAATGTAATTTAGTCACTTCCTTACACAATGTTCCTTAAAACATACTTTAAATTTTTGGGATAACTTCAATAGTTTATTTTACCAAATAAACGAGGCCTGCCTACCGCAAAAAAGGCATTCTGTATTTGGGGCCATGAGTGTGCTATAAAACCCAAGGTCAAATCTCACTACTAAGTCAGCCAATGGTATCTCAGGAATTCGTGATGGGTGCCATTCACAATCTGCCCTCCCTCTAGTCCATTAGTTCAAACTTAGGATCAATTATACACAGGTAGCTCTTTGGTAACTATGCGCGAAACTTCTGAAACAAACAACCAAATGTATGCAACCTATCAACATTTATTGACGTCATTAATTAAATGTACCATAGATGGTGTTTACAGCTTAAGTATGTTGTTAGTATTTTCATAATTACGAAAATACTTTTTTTTCAATAGGTGATGAAAGCTAAGTCACAAGGAAACAAAACTAACATTATTTCTAGTAGGGAATAAAGCTGAAAGTGAACTAAATGAGAATGTTGGAACACATAAATATCAAATTTTAATAAGTGGCAAATGACTACGAGTCTTAATGAAACGACAAGTTAAATTACTTGAAATCCCAACTACTACTTTCAAACATCTTTATAAACTATTGTAATGATTTTTATCATGATAATAAAAAACTGAACATTACATGCAAACAGGTCTCCTTCGGGAAGTCTGCAAAACAAATTATGCTTCATAAATTAATTTTTAAACATAAATTGACTATATATATATTTAAGGAATTTTGAGAATCATTTTATAAAATCGCAAACATAATTAAACATTGTATTCTTAGTATAGTTGAACATTTGTACATGAATTATTTTGCAAATATTTGAAAACAAACTATCAATATATATATAACACAGTTGTCCCTCAGTCTGACTGTTCAGGTTGACTATTGACGTCAGAAGTTCGTGCGGAGAACCAATTTCGATGACATCTGATATAATACCACTGGTATTCAATACCATTCAAAGATCGAGTTTAAATCCATAGGCAATCATAAGCAGCTATTTTACTTTTTGCTACTAAAGTTAACAACAAACACGTGTTTTGCACAGGTACCTTTGTTTACTGCCACTACTCAGTAGACTTACACACGGTGTTGACGCCCACGCCTACCATCCCTGTGGAGCCATTGAAATAAATGCCACGCATAGCACTGGTACATTTTCATGTCTATATATTTATACACAGAATTATCCATGTCTATCAAACTGATGTCTTTACATCACAAGTTCATGTCAGACATTGTCTGAATTAAGTTCAATAAAAATTTGTAGAGGAACTCAGGTGGATCCCACCACCATCATATGAAATGCTTTGCCATTTGGTCGTATGGTCTAGAGGGCAGTTTACTTTTTCTTGCAGCGAGGTTCTCATCCCTTATCACTGTTCAACCATCATGGTGGGGGGCACCCCCACTAATGGTAGTTTATAAATGCCATCGTGATAGTTGGAGGCTAGACCACTGGCACATCCCATTAACAGACTTTCCTGGTGTTGGATCCCATCTTCCTCCTGAAGGACTTGAAAACTTTTTGGCTATGACATATGATGGTCAACTTGAAGTTGTAGACACAGGAGATATATTTCAATTTTCTATGCTGCAACCTCACAGTGGATACTCGTAATTCAGCCCATGTTCCTTGGATGTTGCTGAGACCTTGGCCTTCACCTCTTGGAATTATATCACTGGTTTGTCTGTAGAGAGGCTGATTAGTATCTAGTCTGATCAGTGAATGTCTGGTTCTCTTGTTATGGTCTCTTAGTAGGTGGAGTTCATTAGATCTTGATCAGTGACTTCAGAGTGAGCTTGGTAGCAGCCTTGATCAGGTCTCTCATGTCTGACCAGTTATTCATCAGTCATTCTTTCAGTATAGAATCTAAAATATTGTCCCTTTTTTGAGTTCCTTCATATACAAATCATATTATTTAAAAATAAGCACAAAATATTGTTACTTCTTCCCCACGACATACAGTCTGCGTTCTTCTACATTATAACTGTGCTTTATACTGAAATGTTAAGAAGGTAAAAACTATCCCTTCAGAAATATTTCAATCTGCATGCTGAATAAAGTACATTCAGAACAAAAGAAAACATTTGGTAAACAAGCTTAACTTTGGCATGAAATCTGTATTGTTTGTGAATTTCACTTTACACTTTACACCAACTACAAACAATTCAATACGATCACATTTGACATTTTCTTAGCTACTGCTAGCAAACAACAACCAAACTGTGTTTTTTGTCTGTCATATAATTAGCCTAACTGTTACACTTATATTTTCCATAATAATTGCCCCCAGTGGCACAGCGGTATGTCTGCGGACTTACAACGCTAGAATCCGGATTTCGATACCCGTGGTT